AAGAAGGACAAAATGGTAAAGGAAGTGAATAAAAAAATAAAAAAAAAATAAAAGCACGCACCGTTTTCCTAAAAGCAATTCTCTTTCGACTCTCAAACTGTCAAGAAGAAAATAGTTCAACTTTGAGACAAAAAAATAATTTTTCCTCTTCGAATGCTCGTCTTCCCTAGCAAATTACTGTGTACTTACCGCCGACAATAGTCAAACAGTTAGACTAGTTCGATTAATCACAATAGAACAAAGTAAACAGTGGTAGAAAAACACTCTTTGTACTGCGTTAAAACATAAAGAAATGACTAACTGATTGATACAAATCACAGTATTCTGATTTATTATTGATATTTCGACCACGTTCACGCGTCGTCATCCGAATAAACGCTGACATCAGATTAGATTCAATAAGAGTACAGAAAAGTAGAACAAAAACATAAACTAATTTCTTACTTTTCTTAGATACATTGATACCTTTTTGCAATGGAAGAAAGATATTTTCCAATGTAAATGACTTTTTAAAGTCCTTTAAGAAAATGTGTTGTTTTCATATCCCATCTAATGAAAAATAATCGTTTTTCATAATCGTTCATCATCATCGATAACACCAGAAAATAGAGTAAATATTGTGATCAAAATGAGATATCTCTCAGTTCTGAGTGATGTTCTGATCAAGAGTTATGGAAGTTTTGCTACAGGCGCAAAAACTTACATCAGATACGGGCGTCATCATATCTCGAAAGCGACGTACATTATCGCAAAATCGACTTTTTATACGCGGAACAGAATCTGTCCAAGTTTTTTTTCTCAATAGCTTATTGAATGAATGTATAGGCAGCAAAGTATCTCTTTATTCAAATCACTTTTCGCATTTTGGCGCGAACAGTGGCGCCATTTTAAACGCGCCACTATTCGTGCGTAAAAAAATTTGAACAGATTCTGTTCCGCGTATAAAAAGTCGATTCTGCGATAATGTACCTTAACACCATTTCGTAGCTGCAAGACTTCTCGGTAATGAAACATCTTAAAAAGCTCGGAAAGGTGTTAAATAGAAGCTGACACATGTGGCTAGAGGCCAATTCAGACTGACTTTTGATATTTGCTCTAGATTTGTGGTTGGATAAATAAAAGATAAATTTTGGTGAAAGTCGTTTGCCGAAAGACCACTCCTCTGCTGACGTGAGTTATGGTTAAAACAAAAAAGAGCTTGTATCGTACGGAAAATTTTTGCGGTAGTAGTTGTATGAAGTATGACAAAGTGTCGTTCAACACTTGTCCACGCTAAGGAATAAGCAAGTCCTGAACCTGATGACCAAACACAGATGGAATGTATTTGACAAAATATACTTGACGTGTCGTAGATACCTAAAGAACAGCCGATAAAAAATGAGAGTGTATCATAAATACCTATTAAAAGACAGTAAATAATAGTATAATAGAAGATGTAAGTAGAATGTTGTTCAAGAGGTGATTGTCGCAAAAATCGAATGATATATAAAACTGAAAATAAAATACCGATATACGAACAGATCGGAAATATAATGATATGATATAACTGAACAACATACGTAGGAGATAAAGTAGTTGAATTTGTTGTAATGTTCATCTTTCATGAGAACTACTTTTCTTGCTGTGAAAAATCATATTTTGTATAATTATGTTCATTAGTCCGCTTCTGCTTGAACATGCACACACACACACATCTAATTGAAAGATTATATATTGTTGAAGAAAAGTCAATTTAAAACCTGCGAAAAGGCATTAATTTGACAAATATTATAATTTCCTTGATAAGTGAAGATTATTAGAAGAATTAAAATGGTGCCGTACGCGGTAGTTGAAAGAATCGGCTAAAAATAGCACCTTAACGAAAGTGGTGAAGATAAGGATGTCTTTAATCTCTATTCGCTTTTCATGATATCTATTTTTTAATTTTCGGAATAATTATTATTATTCAATAGAGTATTACAAAAAATTATTTTTCTCAACACCCATAACATATGTGAAATTTCAAGGCATTGTGACGTCTTTACAAAACTAAATATTGTAAAGTTTTTGAACAAGGGACTACTATTAAAAGAATTTCTGTCCATTCTCGATTTATCATAAAACTTGGTTCTTGTCAATTCATTCATTAGAATTCTTTTATAACAGCCCCGTCCTAAAAATTTAACAACATTTTTTTAAGTAATTAATTTTTTTCTTAGCCAAACAATGTCCGTAAGCCGGAAAACCTTCAGAACGTATACTTCGAAGTGTCCTCTACAAACCGGGAAAGTTTAATAAAAAAAATTCAAAACTAAAAAATTTCTCTAATTTTTAGCTACATGAAAATACTTTTACAGCACCCAGTTTGACCGAAAGCTTGACCGAATTTTTTGTAGATACATCCTGATGTCCTCTATCGATTGACATCAAAACCGAGGTTATATGGAGAAATCTGAAAACTTTATTACACTTTTAAAAATGCAGCAAAAATCCAAGACTAAACTTAAAAAATTATGGGTGAGTCTATTGACACGCCCGGGCGTGGGACTTTGGAGCAAGCAGTACTTTTAAAAACACCTTGAACCAAATTTCGTTCAAAGGAAGCATTTTCAAGGAAAAATGTGGTTACGAAAGTTGTTCAGAATCAGATTCCCTGAAATAAGAACGAAGAATTTTTCAAAATTTATTAAACTCGATTTTTATATTGAAAAATACGGTTTTTAAATTTTAATAAAATTTAATTTAAAAGTCCAGTTTAACGAATTTTTCAAAATTCCTCGTTCGTATTCCGGGGAATCTGATTCTGAACAACTTTCGCACCCACACTTTTCCTTGAAAATGTTTCCTTCGAGCGAAAGTTGGTTCTGGGTGCTGTAAAAGTATTTTCATTTAGCTAAAAATTAGAGAAATTTTTTAGTTTTGAATTTTTTTTATTAAACTTTTCCGATTTGTATATGTGTGCTGAACAGTTTATGCAGACATGGGCACTGCCGCGTCGGTTCACCGATTCGCCGCTGAGGCCGAAGGCAGAAAAAACTTTTTAGGTTAAGCGCCGCCGCCAACTGTAGTAACTGATGTTTGATAGGATCGAGAAAACGCCTCGAGTTGTTCAACACAATAGGACTGATATTCAACGTAAGGTGAGTAGGATTTGGATGCGATAAAGGAGACAAAATTCAGTTCATAACAATTATTCGATACTTATAACAGATTGCGAAAGATTTTTCAGTTTTCTTTTCTCATATGATGAAACTTTTGCATTCAGCACTTGAAAAAAACAGCGGCAAGTAGTATTTTTTGGTTGAGATAATTTTTTCGAAAAAATTTTTGAAAATTAACTAATGATTTTGTCGGTAGTAAAATATATTTAATAAGAGAGAAATAGTCCAAGAACAAAAAAAGTGCTGGATCACAATAGTTTTTCACTAATATTCAGCCTTTTGTTAAAGCTAATGTATTACAGTATTTAAGTTTGAATCGAATAATCATGATCAACGTAACGGTACAACTCGTCTCAGATCGCCTATTCGTGATATTATTCGTCAAATGTCGGTAAAGGTATGATACAAACAAAAACTAGAAAAGCTGTTTCAATAATTCATCCATGTTAATCGTAGACACAAAAACTAAAAATATTGTTTAGTATAGTCGTTTAAAAGGTCGTAAAAATATTGTATCAACTGATAATCTGCAAACATGGTGTAATCAATATCTTAATTATCTCTCTTCAGATAAATTGCATGACGTATTTGTACTATATTATGAAGCTATTGATATTAATCATATATTTATTTATATTACTACACCTATATTATTATCTACATGTAAATATTCATCTATATTAGCTTTTGTTACATATAAAATAACATGGAATGAATTACCTTTACTCATTTTTGAAACATCAGATTTTAATCGTCATTTCCATCCATTAGGATTATGTTTAATATCAACAGATGGATTCAGTAAATACATTTAAAACTTTATTTTGTATATTTAAATTAAGATTTCGTAAAACATGTAAACGTTTTTTAAAAAATAATGAAATTATATTTGATTAATGTTTATTATGTTTTAATCTATTAATAAAATATTCAATGGATAGTGATAAATGCTTAATTAATAATTGATATTATTGATATGTAATAAGAGATAAATCAATAGTTGAAATCAATCAGTTGAATTTCGGTTCTATTTTCATTGAAAATAGACATGTAGAAATCTCGCTGGATATTTCTTTCTTAAAAAATCTTACCCGACATTTTCGCATATTTTTGAAATTTCTTCTCGACGATGCAATATTTCAGTTTGATAATATCAAACCTCATGAGGTCTAAAAGCGATTAAAGTTTGATCTTGATTGAAGCATTATTTATATATCGAAAAAACAAAATCGAAAATCTCATTGGACATTTTGTGCATGAAGCCTCGATTTCCAACAATATAATAGAATATTCTGTACAAAGCAAGTACTTTTCAAATCATATTTTATCAATTTGTTACACACTCCAAACTCTATCGATTCTACTTATTTACAATCATTTCCAGTCTTTTCTTTAGCTCGATATTACGCTTTGAAATCTCACCGGACATGAATTCCAAAGTGAGTATCCGAGCAAAGATCAGCTTTTGTCTAACTAGAATTTTTCCTCTGGCTGGAATCAAATGATGTGAGATTGCAGAGAAAGATGTGGCTTACAAAATGGAAAAGCAATATTACTATTGCAAGACTAAATGTATTGGACAAAATCCATTTTCTCTCAGTAGACGGCGCCAAAGGCCAACCAACGCCGAAATGCAAGAGTTATATCTCGTAAACTATAGGGGACAGCACGTTGGTTTCTAGCACAATAGCAGGCCTAGTGTAAATAAACAAAATAAAAAAGAAATTTTAAAATTGTCTCACAGTAAAACAAATTATCCTTATTGCGCATGTAAGAAAATGAACGGTACAATGGCTTCATTCACATGGTATTATTGATTCGTTCTTTGTTTTTCTATCACGTTTTATTTCTACATGCGCTCGGAAAATATAGTTATTTTGTTCATTAAATACAATTATCATGGCCGCAGGCCTAACCAGACCTACTGGCGGTCACCCTACTCATCTTAGGTACCTACCTCTAGTGCACTCTCATTATTCACAACAATCAGTGTCATCTCGGTGCAACAATCTGCTTTAAATTAAGCTAATGACTCATCGATTGTTCATTCCTCTTATCCCCAGCAACAATAATATTTTCAAGCACTTGATCATCACCAACAACAACAATACGTTAATGGTAATTATCGTAATTTTAATATGAATGTATTTCAACCACCTCCTTCTCAAGTTTTAAGACAAAATGTAACAACCGCTGATACAAATACTGACTTGTTCGTGATCGTGAAGGAATATATCATTTGACAGAGATTTTCAAGCGCTACAAAACCCTCTACTTACTTTCTCAAAAACTAATTTGTAAAATATCTTAGAAAGTTATAAGCATTTTTTGCAGCGAACAAGTCTCGAACAGACGAGTTCTGGAAACAAATTTTTTGACTTGGCTAATCTCTTTTTGAAAGTAATAAATAACGGTCACTAGTCGCATTACGAATAGCATTGGTCGTATTTATAATGCTAGCTAAAACATAAAAACAGACCATCCTTCTTGAGAACAAAATTATTTTTTATCCACAAAAATCTAAGAGAGATTCCCGTGACACGTATATGATACACAACTAGTTAGTTTTTGATTATTTGGTTGATCATTAATCAAATGTCTATAGAATATTAGTGTACAAAACCGTTCTTGTATGGAACAATGACTAAAATTATTAGTTTACATATTAGATTTTTTTTAAATAACAAACATAAAATGTTTCCGAATGTTGTGAATTTTCATTAATTAGTTGGTGGAAAGCAATAAGATAAAAATAGAAAAATTTACAAAAAGTCTTTATCAAAGAAAATTAGACAGAATAGACGTATGCTTTTGTCTGATAAAATGTTATTTTACTCATCATTTTTAATCTGCAAAATTTGACACTTTCCCAACATTTCTCATTCAAAACAGGTGAAAAACAAAGTTTATACATTGCAAAGTTCCCTTCCTGATCTTTAAATCTCCATTCTCGACTCAAAAAAAGTTTGGATTCAAAATAAATATCGTATTAATAATCAGTCACAAAACTAAATCGAAAGATGTGTCATTTAGAAAAAACAATTTTTTGTCAAGAACTGATCGTTGGTCTTAGAGACTTCTTGAAACAATAGGTGAAGAAGGATCTGGAAATAATTTTTTCCGAGCCACATAACGTTTGATTCAGTTTTTCACACTGATTACAAATATGATATCTGTTTTACGTGAAAACCTTGATTAACCTCAGAATCAACGTTTTCCAGTCAAAAATCGAATATATATCCGATTTTTTTCCGAGCTGGTGATTCTTTTAAAAAAAACCCTGTGCTCAAACAATCCTGGATACACTACTGATCAGATCGTCTACTAAGTAGTAGTTCGTGTGTTAACTATAGCAATTTCATGAAAGCGATGCTATGTATTCTAACTTTTCGTTAATTTCCTTAATCTTGCGGTCTTTATCCGTGTCATCTTTGTTTTCCCAGATAGTTTTTGCTACTAGTAAATTTTCATTGGCAGATTCTAATCGATTAAGTTTGACATAAATATCAGCCAGTTCAATGTGACATTCTGCAAGCTGACTCATTTTCCACGATTTTTGATAATCGGTTTTCAAATGGTCTTCCACTGTCTCAAGTTGCTTCTGTTTATAATAAAGTGCATGAGTATAATCTTTCTTCTCTGTAATAAAAATTTCGCTTAGTTCTTTATAAATAGACTTGATAACGTCAAACCTTGGCCAACGTTGCGAATAGTGTATTTCGATAGCTTTCCCAAAACGTTTTACTGCTTCTTCGAATAAAGAATTTGAGTTTTGTTGGTGAGCCAAATCATAAAAGCAGTCTGCTAGTTTTATATGGTCTGGCGAATAGCATTTTAGCATTTCTTGCAGCTGCAGTTGACGGTATTTGTTAGCATTTAAACTGTTCTCATTTGATTTTTTTTTGTTAAGGTTTGATGGTTTACTTCGATAAAGATCACCTATAATTTTATATAACTCAGTTAAATGTTTTGGTTTTGTTGTCTTCCGAAGAGAAGAAGTGACGCACTGAATACCCAGATCGTAATGATTCGCTGCTGATTGGCGATCATATACCTGGCTTGCATAAATGCTACCAACACTATAGTGAATTGACGCAATATTAGCAGCAAAGTTCAAATCTCTGTTATTTAAATAGTTTTTGTAAATTTCAATCGCTTTTTTATAATGGAAGAATGTTGAGCCTGCATTCTCTTCTGATACCAGTTCGTAATCTGCAAGGCACTGGTGTTTAAAAGCCTCAAACCAACCAGCATCCGAAGGAAAGATTTGTCTCAATCCGTCAAAAATAATGTCTAAGTCTTCCGGATCAACTAAAAAATGACATTTTAAAACTTGATCGAGACAGTTTTTCAAGACTTCCTTTTCAGTACTGTCAGGAAAACTGTCATCCATGGTCACAATCTCGTCTTCATTCAATTTTGATTCCATTATATAGGCCTTGCTCCCATCATCAAAAACCACTAGGACAATTTGTAGTTCGATTCCTGCCATTAGCAAAACTTCATTTTCACTTGTAAAGTTGGATAAATGCGAAATATTTGCAAATGGACGAGATTCATTGCGTACGTCTAATTCTATTTCAAATAAAACATTTTGTAATTCATCCGAAGCTTTTATTAATGGATCTAACATTAATAGTGCCATAGAGCGATCGTTAGCAGTCGAGAAAAAACTGTTAACGACTATATAGTCTGCCCTCACAGAATTATTTGGGTTTGCACCCCGTTCAAGGTGTTTAATTTCGTCTAAAGACATCATCTGTCCTCGATAAACTCTATATATTGGTTCTTCGTCGAGCATGTGACCTAGTTTTTTATGTTCCTTTTTTAGCTGGTTGTAGATGTCTCTCACACAGAAGCCAAACAAAAACAGCGTCTCAATATTGTGCTGACGGAGTGCTTTGTTTAGAAGACGATAGAGAAATGCATCGCGGGTATACCACCATATAGCCGTTTCTGGAGTATATGTTCTCTCAAATTCATCTAACTTATTCAATTCGGCGGGGTTATCTTGGTAATATTTTTTTAGTGTTGATACCAGGCTTTGGCAACTATTCTCTGGATATGGTAAATTGCACAAAAGTTGAACGAAGGTTGGCCACCACGAGCCGGACATATCTGTTGTATTTTTTTGTCTCCCAACTTCGCTGAAAATAGCACCTTTGTCTTGTTTCATATATTGCCTCACATCTTCAGTTATATCGTCGAGGAGTGTCTTTAGGTCATGATAAGGTTGTTTGATCTGTCAAACAAACAAAAGGGTGAAGGAGACGGAGGGAAAACCACAGCTTTACTCTAACGTCAACTTTTTTACTTTCTTTTGAAAAAAGCTATCAGATGCTTGTGTGCGCCGATGTTTTGGAGGAATATATAAATTGCACAAAAGTCACTCACCTTTGAGAAATTAGCCAATAGTTGCTCATCGAAGGATTTGTCACAGCAAAAAATATATATTGAACGAACATTCTTTCGATCATGAATTTTTGGAACGACGAGTTCACCAAAATCATGCGAACACACAAGAAACGTGATAGTGTCACTCGATTCCTTAATATGTTCCAGACAGTCTTCGGTGTTATCAAATCTCTTTGTGTAATCCACTATTTTTCGAAGTTCACTAACAGTGACTGTCAAATCGTCAACCTTCGTATCGCACCAAATTAGCTGATAAGGTTCAAGGTTTACTTGCTCACGATCAAAAAAATGTCTATGACGAGGCTCCGTTTCGTTTTCGCCGCATTTATCTAAAGACACTATTGAGCCTTGTGATTCGGAAAAAGGCATGAAGTGTGAATCGTCGTCTGTATTAACGTCATCTTCATCTGATAGTTTTCCAGAAAACTTTGATTGTGTAGTGTCTTCGTCTATCGAAAGATTTGAGTACTTTTGCAGCGAGTTTGCCAGTAGATCATCGGAGTAGCTTGTAAATCGTGACATTTAAATGCCAATTAGCTATGTAGAGTAAACCCTGAAGAAGTAAAAAAGTAAACAGCAATAAAATGTTTAATATTTACTCAGATTTCGGTGGTTGACACTAGAGCATCTTCACAATTTTTCGCATGAGCACAGAAACGACAGTCAAAAACCTTCTTAACCCTTTCGAGGCTATGGGGCGGTGGGTCCCACTATTAAGGGTGTCCCATAATAACTGAGGATAAATTGTTAATGGTATTTTTTTACACTTTATCTTGACGTAGAGGACCGGAATTTTCATCACATATATATCTAATAAAGATATTTCATTCCTGAAAGTTTCAGCTTTCTACCTATAAATAATGATGAAATACATCAACAAGATTGAAATACACAAAGTTTCGTATGTGACTTTTTACTAACAGAAGAGACAGATTAAATGACTGCGCTTTGCATTTCAATTTTCAATTACATAATACGTTCTATTAAAAACAAAACATACCACAAGATGCAGCATGAAAAGTTCTATAACCTGCAAAGTAAAGCTTATTTTAATTTTGTATTTTTCGTTTTCGAAAAAAGCAAAATTCTGTGCAACCATCTTTCGATGCTAAGAAAAAAACAGCTACTCGTGTACCAAAAAATTATCTTCTTCGTAGACGCTTGCCATAATTTGGCTAATCAATCACCAGCATCCTATTTCCTCCTTCAACTTTTTTTGCTATACAAGGTTCCCTAAGAAGCTTGCCTTATAATTCGAAGTAGTTTCTCCTTTCCATAACTTCATGTAACATCTTGTCTTATTACTGTTTTTTCTCTTTTTTTTCTATTGTCAATAAAAAATAAAATAAAAGAAGATAAGAAGAGCAATGAAGAATGGTCAAAAGATTATGAAAAGGTAAGGTTTTAAATGAGAAAAAGTGTTGCAAACTTTTCTGAGCAGAAAGAGACAGATTAATATTTATTAGAGAACAAACGACTGACCATCAGCAGGACCCTTATTGCATAAACTCGCACGGAGCGCAAATAAGTTACTATAGACACATACCGAACTATTGAAGTTCGTGGCAATTATCCTTCAGAAACTTCATCTTCTAACCAAGACGAAAACTATCGAAACATTCTGTTTCAAACATTTTTATTCTCCTAGGTCAAAGGAGTTTTCACTCATTCAAAACAGCTGATCGCTGAATTGTCGAAGAATCAACAAATTCGTGAAAGAATGGATGAGACGACAGGTATGAATATTTATAGTCGAATGGCCACTGGCGGTGCTCAACAACAGAGAGATGCACGAAATGCGATGTTCATGTATTTCCAGTTATTAATTGATATTCTATTAGGAATCACCGGTCATGATTCAAAATCTAAACAAAATTTAATTGATCATTTTAGACAGCTGTATGATGGAAATAAAGTGGAAGAAAAGGTTATTGAAGAATATGAACGTGAATATAAACGAGGTCATGTCAAATCTAAATATGTTACATGTTCAAATTCTTTCGAATATTGTCGAATATTCAGATTTCAATATTGTCCAAGTAGTCGAATATTCAGATTTGAATATTCTCTAACTATGGTCAGTCA